CTCTCTCTCTCTCTCTCTCTCTCTCTCTCTCTCTCTCTCTCTCTCTCTCTCTCTCTCTCTCTCTCTCCCCCAGACCGCAACGCACAGCGACTTGGAACTCGTGAGTTTCATTCTTTTCTTTTCTTTTCGTTCCTTCTCGTGGTTTTTTTTTTTTTTTTTTTTTTCCCCCTTACTTACTGGTCCATCGCCCACCGACCACCGGAAGTCGCGGCGCGTATACGGCCGCCCAAAAAAAAAAAAGCAGGCCGAGGTACCGGTGGTTTAACACTGGGCATGCTATGCAAAGGAAGCTTCCCGCCAAAATCTTTTCAATCCGTAGGGGGTATGGCCAACCCCAAACGAGGGTGGGATCGGCCATAGGCCTGCTGGATAGAAGTTTTTCAGTATAATTTTGCTTGATTCTGTGCAATTATCTCATTGGCTGGAGCCTCCTTCAAGGGAGGCCTTCATGATCACTGCTGACAGAAATCCAGTTTATTCCAGAAAAATGTGGCAGGTACTTTGTTCACTGTTGTTGCAACCACCACCATCAGATCATTTGTGATCTGATAGCTGGGAAGCACTCTGCCGTGATTTCGGGTGGGAGGTCTATCATTTCTGAACTTATGGCTGGGAAGCACTCTGCCGTGATTTCGGGTGGGAGGTCTCTGTTTCTTTTCTTTTTTTTCCCCTTTCTCCTGTTTTCTCAGCCCAGAAATTTGTAATGAACCTGTCAGGCTGCTGCCACTCAGTGTCATACTGGATCGGCCACCGTGACACTCCTATCCGACTGCTAATGGGACCATGCTCTGGAAGTACTTTTTAGGACTACGACAAGGGGAGGGGACGGGGGGGGGGTAGGGGAATATTTTGGACATCAATGGGGTAGAACCCTGGTAGCAGAGGAGGGTAATGCCTCGGTACGAAGGGGAGTTTCCGATTGCCCTCTGATGCTGTCATCTTTCCCATTTGAACATTGACACTCTTCCATTGCTTGCTGGGGATAAGTAACCGGAACGGTGGCCCCCAGAACGTAAGGGGCTGGGTTCGCAGCCCCTAGGGGCTGCGTTTACCACCCTTGGCTTTTGTCGTTTTGTGTCGAACAGCGTGGTGGTCTTCGGGCACATACCGGTAGGCGGGGAGCGTGATGGTAGTTGGGAAGCTGGCAGGCTTCTGGGACCGGAATTTGTGGATGGCACCCGAAATTCTGAGGGCAGGCCACTGGCAACCGGTTGCTTGTGTGGATGGGTCTGGGAGGGTTCGTGGGCTGTTTTTTTTGCTTTTGATTGATC